ACAATCATGGGAAGTTTTAAAACACTGGTCCCACAGACCAATTAAATAAGGATCTGCAGGTGGGCCTAGGCATTGAAGGGCTTGAAGAATGACCAGGTGATTCTTGTATGCAGTCAGAGTTGAGAACTAAGAATTTGAGTAGTTGTTCACAGCTGGAGAAGTTTTTATACTCCTATTGGTCCATCTGGCCTTACCCCTTTACCAATTGAATCAGAAGATTTGGGGGCAAGATTTGGGCAAAAGCAGTTTTAAAATTCCCTAGGTGTTTTCAACATGCAACCAACTTTAGGGACCGCTGGGTTAGAAGCAGTGGTCCCCAACCTTTTTGGCACCAGGGATGGGTTTGCAGGGCGGGGTAGGTGGAGCTCAGGCAGTGATGCAGGTAATGGGGAGCCACTGTAAATACAGATGAAGCTTCACTCACTCAACCTGCTGCTCACCTCCTGCTGTGCAGTCTGGTTCCTAACAGGCCAGGGACCAGGGTTTGGGAATCACAGGGTCACAGGGATTGTATACTGTGATCTACTGTGCACCACTAATACAGCGAAAATATGTTATGTGATAGCCCTTGTATATTAAAGTAATACTTTAAATCTTGAAGTTTAAGGCACAGAAAGAAATGCAGTGTTGCTGCTTGTCTTAGTTCTGCTAGTTTAATACACTTTTCAAAGTTAAAAATTTAGAATCACAGAATTTTGAAAACTGTAGGAGACCTTAGAGAAGTAATCCAGCTCTCTCTCTCTCTCTCTCTCTTTTTTTTAACATATGATAAATAAGAGGCCCAGAAAGAATAACTTAATTGTTCATAGTCACTTGGATAGTTAACAGGGAAGGTCCTCTGATAGATCTTTTCAGTTTTCTTTGTATTCCACAATGCTGGCTGGCTTCATTGAAACTCTTAGTTCTGAAATTACAAACACTAAAAGAGAAGTGATTTAAAAAATCTACAAAGTACATAGACAGGGTCAATGTGAACTTGTTCACAAAACTCTAGAACACTAGAAGTAACAGCTTCCCTCAAAGTATGAACATATTTATCTAAAAACAAGTAAAATTAAAAAACCCCTTATGCCAAACATGGCATTTAAATCAGTGGCCACGAGAATCCTTCAAGCCACACAGAGCCGTTGGATAGCCACTGTATTTACGTAGGAGGGCTAGAATTTTGGGGATCTTTAGACCTCGGTAAATATGTGGGTTTCCTAAGATCACATGCTAAACTGTAAAAGAAAATTTTGCAGTCAGTACTTAGACCCTCAATCATGTGGCTCTCATGTGTTTTCATATTCCCTGAGTTGTTAGTCTAATTCCTGAACTAACCACAACATAGAAGAAATCCAAACAAAAGCAGTTCTCTTTGGGGAATAAAGTTAACTGCATATGATTATATTGTTTGTTAAATATGCACACTTCCTTGTGCATTTATGGACTTTAGTCCCTCTATGTGATCTTTTCAAAAAAAATGTAGTGGGCACATCCCCTCTACCCTGAGTGCTATCCTTTGGGAGGCAGGTTGCTAGCTGCTTACTGCAGCATTTTATTTTCAGCTATTTCCTGGCCTATACCTTTACCAGTGACTAGAAACACTACAGCATACTGATGAAAACTTACAGCAACTTGAAGGAAGGAAAGTGAATAAATTAAATCATAGAATTGGCATTCAGAAAAATCTCCATGGGCTCAAATGAGTGCCCAAATCTAAGCAGATACAATTCAGTGGGGAGAACACAAGCCCATATACTTGAACACAGTACAGCCGTATAGAGGGGGAAAGCACTTGTCTTACAGCATTTCAAGGGCTGTTATTGGAAGAGAGTTTCTAAGCCTAAGGTCCATAGACCCTTTATAGGCCTTAGGGAGCTGCAATTCCTAGAATTATTTTTTGCAAACTCTTTTGTGCATTTCTACATTTTTTCTGGAGATAGGGCCTGTCATTTTAATTAAATGTTCAAAACAATAATAAAAAAAGGTTACACCTAATAGTTATAACTAGGGAAAATAAAAGGAAGCTACAGGCAGACTTTAATCTCAATATGAGGAAGAAATTTCTCACACTTAAAGTTGCCAAAGGTGGAATAAGCTAACACAGGAAGTTTCAAATTTCCAGACCATTTGGCAAGAATATTGGAGAGGGGATTGAAACAACAGATGGGTGGTTGAAATGTGTTTTTATGTTTCTATAAAACAAATGACTGTGTACATGGAAAGAATGCCTGAGTACAATTAATGTGAATGCTGGTGGAGTTGGAAGTCTCAGAGCACTGAGGCCCTGAACCAAGAGGCCATAAATGATGACAGGAATCATGGGTAGTGGGAGGTGCCTCGTCTGGCAGATGCTGGTTACAGATTGTTAGACGGAAACACCACCCTAGTGGTTTCGTTTTGCCTTTGCATCCAGAGGAGGACTTACTCTACAACTAGGTTCTTTATGGTATCTCATAGACAAAATACCCACAAACTGTTACAATAGGGAAGTCGGTAGAAAAATAAAAGTTGAGAGTACAGTGATTAAGACCATGGACTGTGGAGATAGGCTGACTGAATTTCATCCCTGCCTCCATATTTGTTGGCTGTGTGTGACCCTGGAGAGGCTATATAGCCACTCCATGCTTCCTTTCCTCGTATGTAAAATGAGAATGACAGTAATAACTACATTCTAGAAAATTCCTCTCTGCCTTTGTGCTTTTCATTTGTAAAAGGTGAGCACATTAACATTTAGACAAAGATACTATCCCACTTAATACTGCCTTTAACAACTCAAAGAGTCAAAATACTTGCTTAGAAAGCAGAGTTCAACAATAATTTTTATAAGTGTAAGCTTTTATCAATTCTTAATTTGCATGCAGTGCTTTAGCTTAGGTTTTGAAATCATCAGCCAAGTATACTATCTGCTCCTTCATCAGGCTTAGGTAGAGCCTCACCCATGTTTTGAATTTGCTGTCTCTAGAACTCTGCCCAGAATTTTAATTAGAATGTCTTGCAGGTATATTTTGTATCTGTGGATTTCAAGGGCTTCACAGTAATCCTGATTTGGCCTCTAGCCAGAGTTCGGATTCCCAGACCTAGAAAAGGGTTCTGCCCCACAAGCAGTTAGAGCCTTGGCTACCTCCTAACAGGTGACTGACTCTCCTCTGCTTGAGTGTTTTTGAACAGAGAGTGCCTTGCTAATTGGCTAGGGAGGTTCATCATGCTGTATGGCCTATTTAAAGTTTTCTTTTTGTCTTAAAATTCATTGCATATATGTATTTAATGTGTAAGAATGCATACATCCTTAATGAATAACTGATGAAGCTTCATATTAAGGGTAATAGGTTTTTGCTTTTAAATTTAGCTTCAAATGCTAAATTAGTGTTGGCAAACATACATCAATAAAGTCTGTTGGTTTGAACTCCACTATTTTGAAGTTTGTCATAATTGGCTGGAATGATGTATACAATTGCTAAGTAAGTCATCTTCCTTATAACATAAATTAATAGCATACTCAAACATTTAAGAGGCTTAAAAGAACTGCTTTTAAGCACCTTGAAGTACTTTATAAACAACTACTGAAATGCCAATTATATATTACTCTTGTTTATTTATCACATTATTTCTTAAGAGGAAGCAGAGACTTAAGTTGACAAGGTCAACCTTCAAATCTGGGTGCTTGGCATTCTTTGAAAAGAATGATTTTATCAGGTACTTTTCTTCTGGTCAGGCTTCTGGGTTGTTTTTGTTTTTTCTCACCTGCCCTGCCCTGCCTGGGCTGCTCTTTTAATTTATTATTCATGCAAAATGTTTGAGTGCTAGTCCATGCTGATTTGCAGATGTGAGATTTTCTTCGGGCAGTTCAAGATGTCCTCCTGAGGTGTCTGGGAAATCTGTCTTCTATTTTTTTAAGTTGGTTTAAAAGTAAAATAATCAGAAAGGAGACAGCCCCTCCTCAAACTTTCTTTTCATCCCTAGGACACATCTCGGGGCCCTTCTCCCAAATCACTGCAGCCTGGAGCACTGCAAGAACTAACACTGGGTCCTGAAGCCCCCTGCTCTCTGCTCAGCCCACATGCATTACTGACTCTCTGCTGCTTCTGCTATTTATGACTTTCTGCCTCAAAAAGGACCCACCATTTAAAGTTTTATCCTTTGAACATTTCCTTTCCCAGAGTTAAATAACTACTAAGAGAAAATTTCCCATCTTGTATTCAAAAGCAGAGGCGCTGCGACTTCAATGGAACTCTTAGATATAAAATTTCCTCAATGTTGTACCAATGTGTTGTTTAGTATTAAAATCTAAACTTCAGATAACTATAAAGTCAAGGAGAATGACTTTATAGTTATCCTTTGCACCTACAAATCCAGCTATCTTGACCGTCCAAGAATGCACTCTGTCGTGGTGGAGCTTACATTTGGGGAAAGGATCCAGTGGGGAAAATAGATTCTGCTTGAAGCAAGATGACTTTAGAAGAAGAATACGAAGTACATGCTGGTGAGCAGGGCACCTATCACAGCTTGGTGGGGACAGTGCACAGGGCTGCCTTATGGACAGGCTATGCTGGAGCTGAGTCCTAAAGGAAACGACTTTGGTAATCCCTCACAAGTGGAGCTGGAGTCTCTGAAGGAGGAGAGAGGATTTCCATGCCAAGGCAGCGGGCATTTCAGGATTGGCGCATCTCGCACGGTGGCTGGCTGGATATAATGAGTGAGTCCTCAAAGATAAGTTTGTAGCATGAATAAGTCTGTAGCATGATTGAGAGAATTAAGCATCAAGGCATTCTATAAAAGACTAACAGAATTTGTGCAGATTCCAGAAACTGCAAATTTAGAGAGGTCATTGGTAGGAAGCACTCTGAAATAAAGAAGGGGAAGTTAAGATTATTTATCTTAAAATAAAATTTCATTAAATAATTACATATGTCAAAATAGGTAATTTAATAAATATTAATACAAATATTAATAAGAATAAATTAAGATACCAGTCAGATTTAATACAAAATGTAAAGAGTAAAATTTTTGTTGTCTTTTCATAGCAGATGTGGTGGTTTCTTACTTTTAAGTAGACAGAATATCTTGGTGGAGATTTTTCTTTAACTCAGCTATGTGGCAGAAAATTTATTGGCTTTTGAAAAATTATTCCTTTTGAAATATGCTCTTTGATCTGAAGCAAGAGAAAGCATTATAGATGGACCCTGGTGAAATAAGTTTTTATTTTCAAGAAATTCATAGGAATAAAATTAATTTATGCTTTAAAAGATAAAAGTAAAATAAACATAAAATTATAATAAAACATGAAGTAAGTAATTATGACCAAGGATGGTTAGAATTAGTGAACTACACGAATTAATAAAATATTAAAGCTAAATTTAAATTAGCCCATATCTGAATTACTCCAAATTTTTAACTAGAGAAAATATTGAATTAATGAGAAATTGATATTTTTAAAAGTAGAATAAGTATGTGGGGGGGATACTTGAAAATACAGTTTTCCATTTTATAAATTCAAGTTAATTTAAAATGATTTTTAATTCATATTATAGACATGAGAGTGCTACATGTGGAATTATAATTCCAAAAGAAAAATTTCTAAGTTGCAAATTCTGATTAGCAACCCAGTCAAAACACAAAGTATTTCCACATTGTCAGCATTTCTAAAACAGGATTCATTGCTTGGCGGGTCTCAGGAATGATTACTCAGACTTGTGACTGGCTTAATAACCTGGCACATTGACCTAAGACAACATGAAAGAAAAATAAAGTATTCTCCAATCATGTGATGGAGTCGAAAACAACACATATGCATTTTTCAGCTGTGATTTTTATAAAAGGCACAACTTGGGTAGGGTTCGAGAAAAATAGGTGAGGAGAAAGAAAAGGGAAGTACAGGATGTCCACCCTCTTGGAAGAAGGACTAGGGGGTGGAGAGCGGAGAGAGTGAAGATAAAGTTGAGGGTTTACTTTGTCTCCCCCAATGTAAGCACTGCGTCTGGCTTTTAAACTCTTGCTGTGTCTTGAATGCAGCTCATTTGGTAGAGTGGAACCTCCCAACCTGGCCAATATGGCTTCCCATCTTGAACATTCTTCTGCTAGAGAGAGCCATGGTGGGCAGGGACCTTGCTGACCCTGAGTTTTGTCAGGAAAATTGAGAACTTTGTCTTAAAATTGAGAACATTTTCTGTCTAGCACGTAGTCCTTTCAATCAGTCCTTTATTTGTTGTTAGTTGCCTTTCTTTTTCCCCACTAGGATGGGGAAATTTTCCTATAATTCCTTATCCCATCCATTTTTTCATTCTAAGTGTAGGACTTTTTCTCTTAAATCATAGATTAAAAAGCCCATTATTTCTCTTTCCTATCCTTCTAGTATTTATAATGTCACCCACCACTGACTCTTCCCACCCTGTGTCCCTGAGGGAACCCTTCCCTTCCCTCTTTAGGACTTGATTCAATCAGTTATCCGTGGCTTTATATTCTATATTTTGTCTCTTCTTTCTTAAAGATAAACCCCCTCCCCAAAAGACTAAAAGACTCTCCCCTCAATCCTGCCTTTACCTCAAATCACTGCTTTATCTCTCTTCTTCCTTTTGCCACCAAAATTTTGTATAAGATTTATCTATATTTGTTCTCTTAATTTTCTGATCTTTTTTGCAAATTGATGGCTGTCTCCACCACTCCTTAGAAAATGCCCTTGTTAGGATTACTGGTAGCTTTATAGTTGACAAATCCAGAACCTCCTTTTCAGATCTCACCTTTCTTGACCTCTTTGTAACATCAACACTATTGATCAATTTTTCTTTTTCTAGTTTCTACAATGTCACCTTTTCTTAATTCTATCCCATATTTTTTACTACTCCTTTTCAGTTTCCCTCACTGAATCTGATTCTCCATCCTGATCCTTAAATGTTTTTGTCTACCCAAGATACTTGACATCTGCTACTCCTACTTAATGTTCTCTCCCCAGGTGAGTTATTTCGGGCATTGCCATAGTATCAGCAGTTACCAATGTGCCATCAATTACCAACCAAATCTATTTCTCCCACACTGACCCTTCTTTTAAGGTCCATTTGTGTATTAGTGACAGCAGCTTTGACAGCCATGTGACCATGAGCAATGTATTAAGTTTTCTAAACTTTTAGCTTTTTTAAAATCTGTCAAATGTTGCTGTGGGGTTAAATAACGTAACATTTCTTGTCATGTTCCAGGGATAATAAAGGCCAATGAATATTGGTTTTCATTGCTAATAAATGTTTTGTTGAACAGTGAAGCTGAAAGGCAGCTGGGTGTGGAGGAAGCTGGAATAGAAGATTGCCAAAGAGGGGAAGCACCGCCTTTTGCTTGAAGGTGACCTGTGCTGCAGAAGAAATGCGGATCGTGACTGTGCCTGTGACAAACGTGAAGATTAGCAAAGATGAGAAAGCAGAACTGGCTCCAAACTGAGTGATTTAAAATGCTGAGTCTTGCTCCACTTAAACACAAGTGCACTTTAAATAAGAAGATATTGTCTTGCATTTTCTGTTAATGACTAAGTGTTTTCCTTAAATTTGTGAATTTAAAAAACATAAATCAAGTAACAAATTGTATATTGTCTATAATCTACATAATACAGATTGAACTATGTCAAAGATATACTTTTCTCTGTTATTTGTTCCACTGAACCTCAAGTATAACTCAAGTATTATAAAAATTCATTTTCATTCATTTACTAAATCTTTTTTTGCATGTTATTCTGTGCCAGGCAGTGCTACATGGTAATGTGGATTATTATAAGACACAGATGTCTAGCACTCTGGGAGGCTGAGACGGGCGGATCACTCAAGGTCAAGAGTTTGAAACCAGCCTGAGCAAGAGCGAGACCCCCGTCTCTACTAAAAAATAGAAAGAAATTAATTAACCGACTAAAAATATATAGAAAAAATTAGTCAGGCATGGTGGCGCATGCCTGTAGTCCCAGCTACTCGGGAGGCTGAGGCAGGAGGATTGCTTGAGCCTACGAGTTTGAGGTTGCTGTGAGCTAGGCTGATGCCACGGCACTCTAGCCTGGGCAACAGAGTGAGACTCTGTCTCAAAAACAAAAGCAAAAACAACAACAACAACAACAAAAAGACACAGATGCTTGCCTCACGAAGCTTAAATAGCCAGCTATATAACTACATAATACATATGGTAGACATATACAATAGGTAAGAAAGGAGATCATTTTTCTGTGAGCAATAAGCAGAACATTCCATGCCTGGGGCTTATAGTCCTTGGGCCAAGTTGCTCAAACAACTCAGGAATGCTGATGAGGTACCTGTCCCAGACATTGGTCCTTGGGTCAGTGTCCTAGGATAGTCTGAGGCTCAACTTGAGACTAGAATCTGCTATATTTTCTTCCTCCTCACCATTAAAACTTCTTTCTATATTTTGTTCCCATTGGGCTGGTCTTGCTATTCACCAAACCATCATCCCCAAACCCCTCATTTCATTATGCTGGCTTTTGAGTTAAAAAATATTCCAGCATTAGAACTGACCTGAGAATTTTAGGATCTGTGGTTTAAATGTTCTGATCTCAGGTCTCAGGACAATCTTTGAAGATTTTAAGATGTTGAATAAAATGTACATATTTGCTAGGGCAGTTGCCTGCATTAGTAATAAAACTATTTGAAACATATTCTGAATTTTTGGAGTTAGAGGTTAAAATTATTATTTCTTTCATTGCTAAAAGATTTAGGGATGAAGTGGTGCATATTCAAAAGTTTAATTAACTGAATCTATTTTAGATGTGATGAACTCAAGGTAAGACTTGAATGTTTTCCTTCTCAACAGGTGTTGAACCTTCTGTAGTAGTTGAAACCTGTTCTGATACAAAAATATTATTAAAAAATAATCAGTGCTCCCTGTATTTCGGTCAGGACTTACTGCTGGTACTCGTTCCCATGAACCAACATCCTCTTCTGAAGGAAGAGCCAATGTTTCCTTCATTTCCGAAGGAACTGATTACAGGGACAGTTTCTATTCTGGTAAGACACATAAACACATTTCAGTGGGGGAAGAAAAGGCAGAGCATAGGATGGTTGGTGATTCAGCAAAAATAGGGATGGCTTTGGCCAGAGAAGAACACTTTAAATCTTCTAATAATTGCCATTTCCACTGACTCTCGAAAACATTGCTTTTAAAGCTACCTTAAGAAAAAAATTAGACTGTTTATGAAAATACTCTCAATTTCAAACTTATGGTAGAATCATAACAAAAGTGCCTGATACGGAGGATATTTCCTGAGAATGAGATAATAATTCAGTAGTCGGTCAGACATTGCCTTCTAGATAACATTCTCTGTTAACTTTGAGGTTTCTGTGTTTTGGAATACAAACTGTCAAAATCAACGTTTTTATACATGAAACATAAAAAATGAAATGGCTTTTGAAGTACCTTTCAGTTGAAGCTGGCAGTCTATGAACATGGTGGTGTATTTGCTGTTCTGAGCTTTTTTTCTTATTTCAGGAGATTATTTTACTTCAAAACCAAAGCAGCCCTGTTTTACTTCTCACTGTCAAAACAGGTAAAGCCCCACTGTACGACTGATGTAGGGCTATGAGGTCAGGCAAGGCCAGCAGGGTAAGATTTCATGCTCACAGCTGAACATAAAGAGACCTGTAGTATAACCAAACTAAGTAGAAGTAAGGCACTTCATTAGAGGGATTTATTGGAAAATTATAGTTTGATTATTCATTCATTTGACAAATATGTATTGACCATTTGCTGTGCTGATGCAGCCTCTGACCTCACAAAGCTTGCAGTCTAATGGCAGAGATCAAGAGCCAGGTGTAACCAGGATAAGATTTTGAAACTGCCAAACAGATGTTATTTTAATTCCTATTAAATCATGATGCCCTGTAGCTCCCTGCCATTTACACACACAGATGGGCCAGACAGTGCAAACGTGGGCTGAGGAGGTATTGTTAAAGGAGCTAAGACCTGGGGATGAATCACAGCCAGGGCTAAGTAATGATGTTAGTCAAAAGCAAAACATCTGTGAACTCCTGGATGCCAATGAGAGGATTTGAGGAACTAAGTGTAGTTCAGTGTCTTTTGGAGTGAGATGGGAAGTAGCAAAAGATGGGGATGGAGAAGTGAGCAGAAGCCAGGTTATGTAATGCTCGTAAGCCTGTTGCCATGTATTCGGTGTACATGAGGAATTGAAAGGAGGCCATTGTGGTGGAACCATCTCAGTGAAATATTTAAAATCATCATTGTAAGTGGTGTCCCATTTGACCATCAGAGTTCAGTTAATTTATCCAGTTTGGGGAAATAAGAAATAGCTAAAGGTGTTTCTGTGATCTAATTTGGATGAGTGTCTTGTGTGAGCAAGAATTGAGTATTTGGTCAAGTTGCCTTCATATCCGAATTGGATGTGGGGAATGATGGACTCCACGCAGCATGCCCTGGGCAGACATTCTCACATATTCTGAGGGTTCACTTGAGAGTAGGCTTAGGCCCTGGCTCAGGAATGAGCAGGAGAAAGCAGGAGAAAGAGGCAGCTCTGAAGATCTCCCACCCTGACCTGCCCAGGGGTGGCCTCTCTAAAGGCCTGGAAATTAGCATTCATTAGAGGCTTTGACTCTGATCCGTGAAAGAGCTGTAGAGCCCCTTACTGGGGTGAAGGCAGAGTGGGATAGACCTATGGGGTGCTACACAAGGTAGTTACTATTTAACTTTAGGAATCAGAGGAAAGAGTGCTAGGTGTTAAAATCAGAAAAAAACTAATCAGTTATGCATACAAAAGTCAAGCAGAAATCCAGGAATAAGATGAAGAGGAGCAAAAACTTGTGAGCAAAAGGGTCTAGGTCTGGAATTTTTGTAATGAGCAAAGAAGCTTGGGTTCTTCTTTACTGGGCCGTACCTGCATGAATAGGTCGGCCTTATTTGAGACATATGGTCATAGTGGACATGTACAAGAGTGAGGGACACTGTTAAAAGGGCGGTCACTATTGATTAGAACTACAACCTACAAGAGTCCTCATCAAGAATAGCCATGATAAAGCAGAGAAGTTAACAAAATCCACCACCTGGAACTGTTGACATTGGGAACTACTGTCAAGAGAAACCAATGAAAATTACAGCTGAGAGTCTAACAATGAAAATGGCCTCTGGAAGGGTTGATAAAGGATCATTTTGGAAGACCACATGGCTCAGTGGTCTGTATCCAACTTTCTCTGAAATTCCAATGAAAGTCACTTTTGATATAAGACAAAGGAATAGAGGTAGAGAGGAATTGGAAGCAGATTCTTGGCCAGGGCTTTGACCACCTATTACAGAATTACAACCTATCCTTGGATTCCTAGTGGATGGTCAGACAAAAAATGGTTGCATAAAGCCACGAAATGTGTGATGTCCTTTATCATTGCTTTTTGGTTGCAAACTGGCAAATCGTAAATAACAGTCCTTCATTGGTGACCTTCATTGGACTTTTGCATCCTAGTCATTTTTTTATTAATACATTTCTTTTAAGTGATCATAGGTTTTCCTCCTATGTGATTTTGCTTATACCCAAGCAGACAGTATATTTACGCAGGAGTCCACTTTTTTTGGGTGGTGGTGGGGGGGCCAGAAACCATTTGGGGGATCACTGATGAGGCAAATTTTTCCCTTATATTTTCATAAGTTTACTACATGAATTATGCTTCATGATTTAAATTCGGATCCAAGCAATCAATTTGTCTTAAGAGAAATACATGAAATTGTTAAAATAGGGAAGTAAACATCCCTGAGTCTTAAGTTTTAAAGTGAACTGAAACACAAACACATTAAGCAATCCTGCACGTGTCCTTTTAATAGGTCTACTTCCTTTGAGTATGTTGTTTATCTTTTTGTAAAAAATAATTAAAACACTTAAAGCTGTATTATGAAAATAACTTTATTTATTTAAATGTTAGAATTAAAATTAAGTTGTCTAAAATCATAAATAAATTTTTTTAAAAAGTTCAACCTTTAAGGTAAATTTTAATGATCCTAAATAGAAAGAGAGGAGGAGAAAAATTTCTGTAGCTACACTAAAAGTAGTAAATGAGAACAAAATAGATCTGAGTTTCTTGGTAGTTAGGGCAAAAATAAATCATGTTAGATTATATAAAAGGAATTATACCTTTGTATCCAAAGGAGTGTTTTCCCTCTCAACACTCTAAGAGAAAAAGAGAAATTTATCATAAAAATCATTACATATGAGACATTTAATAATATGGTAGATACATTTTATTTATAGTTTAAGAAAATTCAGAAACAGTTTTCACATGGCTGTTTCTTATAACAATGCTTCCTGAAATAAAAGATAAAATGTTAAGTCAAATTTGTGAAAGTGTGTCTGTGTTAGAATAAATTATGGATGTGTTTCATGTAATCTGACTGCCATGTTGGTAGACAGTTGAGAAGCTGGGGGAATTAGCACCCCTCGCATGATTCAGATGTCTCAAATAAGCTTGGCAGAAGAGGAGCAGAGAGGAGAAGTCATACTCAAACCTGCTCCTGAAATTGCAGGATTCTGTGTTGTAGATTGGTGGGACTTCCTCATATAGCTTCTATTTGTGTAGAAAGCAAAGTCGGAGTTGTTTTATGTAAGTTAAAACAGCTTTTATCCAAACTCCTGCCCAGATGGAAGTTCCTACTTACATTTTCATGGAAGTGGATTACTAAAAAATACCAGATTTGGGAAAAATTAATGACTGTGGTTTTCATCTAGTAAATTGGCTATTGGCATATTATTTTAAATGAAATACAAAGTATTCATTGACTATCTGAATAAAAAACTGTTTAAACTGTCATTTTTCAGCTTGTGGGGTGGGATAGCCTACTGACACAGCTGTCTTAACACAGCTGTCTTTGCTTATTAGTGAGCATTCCTCATCACTATTTTAAGGGAGTACCGAAGCAAAAAAGGTAAAGACTGTGGTAAGAAAACTTACTATGTTTTCTTGAAACTTTTTATTGAGATAGTTACAGATTCACATGCAATTTAAGAGATAATCATATCCAGATGTTCCCAGTTTTTCTTGTACTCATTTGTGTGTGCGTTTGGTGTGTGTGTGTAGCTCTATGCAATTTTATCTCATGCAGGTATCCTGTACCTACTACCACAGTCAAGATACTGAGCAATTCCATCACCACAAGGATATCTCCCGTTGCCTTTTCATAACCATACTCACTTCTCTCTCCATACACACCTCTCATCCTCATCCCTGGAATTAGGGTCCTTCATTTCTAATCTGTCTTGCATTTCTAAAATTTTGTCATTTCAAAAATATTATGTAAATGGAATTAGATATCATATGATCTTTGGAATTGAAGTTTTTCATTCAGCATAATTCTCTGATGATCCATCAAAGTCATAGCAATAGTTTGTTTTTTTTATAGCTGAGCAGTATTCCACGGTATAGATGCACTACAGATTATCTAACATTCATCTGTTGAAAGACATCTGGGATGCTTCAAGTTTTTGGCTGTTACAAATAAAGCTGCTATGAATGTTCATGTACAGATTGTGGTGTGAACATAAGTTTTAATTATCTTGGGATAAATGCCCAAGAGTGCAATTGTTGAGTTGAATAATAATTGCATATTATGTTGTATAGGAAGCCACCAAGACATTTTCTAGTAAAAAAAATACCTTTTTACTTCTCATCAGCAAAGTATATGTGATGTAGTTTTTGACCATCCTCAACTAACATTTGATGCTCTCACTACTTATATTTTTAGCCATTCTGATAGGTACATAGTGTCATTTTATTGAGGTTTTAATTTGCATTTTTCTGATGGCTAATTATTTTCAATATCTTTTCATGTGCTTATTTGCCATCCATATATCCTCTTCAGTAAAATGTCTGTTCATGTCTTTTGTCCTTTGTATTTTAAAATGCACAACTTTCTATTTTCAGTTGTGGTTTTTTTTCAAATTGGAAAATATATTGGTAGCATGTACAAGTTTTTTGTCATGTTTGATTTTTGTAGACAGAAGCCAATACCTTTCCCACAGATATAACCCTTATATTTGTACTCTAGATTCACTTCAGAGCTCAGTAGGCAAGGATCAGGGAAATGGCTTCCAGAACACTCTTTAACTTTTTAAAAAAATAAATCATAAAGTATTTGGGATGCTTAGGAATTCTAATCATTTTCATTAACTAGCCAATAAATTAGGTCAGTAATGGAAAATAAATTTACATGTTTTAATATCTCTGACTTGTAGGATACACTACACTCCCTATCAAGTAGGTTCAGCTAGAAGAAAACATCCAAGAAGAGGCAGTGGATGTTGAACCTATGTTGGGAAGAGAGAGAATGTTGAACTTATGTTGGGAAGCTGGGCTCAGCAGGACCTGCAAGACAAGCACCAGTTGCCAACCCCTGACGTGTGGTTTCTTATCAGTGCCTGGCAGTGGAGAACTGGCAGAGTGGCAAGATGGCTGGAATCTCATCTCGGTCAACCACAGCACAGACCAGCACAACACCAATGGTGGGAGGCTGGTGGAAGTTCCCCTCAGTGAGAGGAAGACTGAGTCATAGTGACTGAGAGAGAGAGAAGGCAGAGGTGACCTTGGGCCCTTACCTGACTAGGACTCAAACAGAGGAGGAAATTTCCAAGCCAGTGAAGACAGAGATAGGTGAGATGGAACTGCAAGAGGTGTTAGGAGGGAACAGGACATGGCTCTGTATCATCATTTAAGGAAGAAGTCTTTGAATGAGAAGGCAGCTCCAGACCTACGAGGAGGAATATTGTGTCTTTTTTTTCCTTCCACAACCATCCATTGAGAGTAGCTTTTAGCAACCATAAGCCCTGGTATGGGGCTTGTTGGTAGTGGGTAGTGAGTTAATGGAGAACACATTCTTTTTCCATTTTGAGGTCTCTCTATATATTAGTACAATTTCCATCTCCTCCTCAAATACTCTCTCAGGCTATGGTCTGGATAGGACCAATACTACCCCTATTAAAGGGAGAAAGAAATTCTAGAGCAGTGTTTCGGTCTCCAGTCCCTGTGGACCGGTACTGGTCAGTCGTCAGTTAGGGACTGGGCTGCAGAGCTCCTCTGTCCCCCTGCCCCCAACTGCATGGAAAAATTGTGTTCCATGAAACTTAGGAAACAGAGGTAGGGGGTGTACAGCAGGAAGTGAGTGGTGGATGAGAACGAGCCAGGGTATTTATCCCTGTGGAAAAACTGTCTTCCATGGAACCTGTCCCTGGTGCCAAGAAGGTTGGGGACCTCTGGGTCACTCAGGGACTTATGATTTGAGGGGTAAATAAAATGTCCCAAATATTTCCCTACAAATCTTCCTCCTCAGGCACCATGATCTTTTACTCCTAATTTTCATAGAGTTTTTAAACAAGTTAGTCCCATTTCCTTATTCCCTGTCAGTCTTTATGTGGCTTTTGTCCCCATCTTTCCTCTGACATAGTTTTGGTTAATGACCGCTGTGCCATTAAATATGATGAGCATTATTTTTCAGCCTTCATCTTATCTGACTACTCAGTAGAACTTTTTTCTGTGACTCCAAACCCTCTTAAAATTCGTCTTACTTTCCCACCTCTTCCTTTCAGCTTTGTCTTCCTCTACTGAGACCTTAAATTTAGAGTCCTCCAAGACTTATTCCTGAACATTTTCTTGTAATCTGTGTCCATAGAAATGGGCTGTCACCCATACCTCTTTTGAAACTATCAAATTGTCCATGGAATCAAACTTACCAGACTAATCAAACTTCCTGTTATTCACTCTTGCTCCCCACCCCCAGTTAAACCTCCACAGTGTTACTTAAAATAATCTTGTCTTTCTTAAATTCTATAAGGAAAACCCATTGCTTACAGGTAAAGACTGGCTCCTGCTTGCCTCTCCTACTGTTGCCAGGCTCGGGCTCCATGAACACATCCACCTCTCAGGTCTTTTTGTCTCAAGGCCTTTGCTAAGGCAGTTCCCTCTGCTTGAAATATTTCTCTCCACTCTGTCTAGCTGTTGCCTAATCGTTCTTCATGTTTTAGTCCAAATGTTACTTCCTCAGGAATGCTTCCTGACAACACCAAATATAGATTAAGTCCAACTCTCATATGCTTCAGAGCACCCTGAACTCTGCCCTTAAAGATTTTTTCACAGTTTTTAGTGTATCTGAGTGATTATTTGAGAAATGTGTGTCTCTTGTACTGGATGCTGTGCTCCAGAAGAGGAGGTGCCTTAGCTAAGTGTCCTTGCCATATCTCCAGAACCCAGTAGAAAGAATGAGTGAAGAAATAATGGTCTTAATTGTTCAAGAGCCCAAACACTTTCCCCTCAGCCCACAGGTCTCCATGGAGTGAGTCTTCCCCAGTCAGAGGGCGCAGGGAACCTGGAGTAGGTGCCCCAGCCTTGGAAGTGAAGATGGACTGTCATAGCGTCATACTTAATTGTGCCAGATGCAATTTCTGGTGCTCTTCCTTTTTGATTATTTAAATAATTCCTGAAAGCCCTGCTCAGCCAGGAAGGAGTTGCAGATTTTATTATTTAAGTGTTGTTAAGTAACATTCATAGAGTATGTTATAATTTACAAAGTGTATATACATTTCCATTAAGTCATTTGAATCTCCCAACACCCTTTGAAGTAATCTGTTTTGCCTACACAGATGTGGAAAATGAGGCTTAGAGGAATTAAGTAACTAGCTCAAGGTCTCTTAGCTAGTGAGGGACCAAGTAGCGACTTCATCTCAGGTTTCCAGCACCAAGTTCTGTCTTTCTTTGGCCTGTTAATTGCTGATGCCTTCTCTTCACTCGGTCAAATCTGAATTTGAATTTTTTTATGGTTAACAATACTCCAAGAATGATACAGCTTTTTTTTTTTTTTTTTTTTTTTTTTTTAGCATGTGTCATACCAATGTGTGTGTGTGTGTGTGTGTGTGTGTGTGTGTGTGTGTATGTCTCTGAATTTGGGGGATGCCTCCATCTGTGTCAGTTTTTCTTATAGTAGAAGAGAGATGTTTGATTTATATAGTTATCTTTGTAAATGATCTTTCTTTCTTTCTTTCTTTCTTTCTTTCTTTCTTTCTTTCTTTCTTTCTTTCTTTCTTTCTTCTTTCTTTCTTTCTTTCTTTCTTTCCTTCTTTCTATTGATAAAGTTTAGAGAATTGTTGACCAGATTTAAAAAGCAATAGGGCACACCCTCAAATCTTTGGAAAGATGCTTAATGTCTGCTATGTCAATCATTATTTTTTCACTATATCATCAAGCCATATTTATATTACTTCAGGTAATAGTCTAAAATACAAACCAATTATTGGATCGATACGCTTTATCTGGTTAGGTATTGTAAAATGTGTAATACTTTATATTTTCCAGTATAAAGTATAAAGAAATGAAGTGTATATATGAATAATTCAGGTTTGCACATACAGCTTGGTCATTTAGTTGCATAAAAAACATTTTGTTTGGTTGTCCATTTCAGAATTCAAGTTTAATCAGTCTTGAATAGAAAATTAGTTGCTGCAGAGAAACTAAGAAAAATAATTGCAGTGTAGAAAATGAGTCTCTTTGATTTGGGCCTATTTAGATTTTATCAAGAGTGTCTTCCCCTTAAGGCAGGCTTTATGATTGTAGTAAAAGTCTAATTCTTGGTTACATATTTATTTGAAGGTCACCTGTAAACTTAGGTCATGGTCTTAGTGCCAGTAATGTTAGTGTGATCAACACATTATTTGTGAGGTCTCAGTAAAGAAAGATAGAGGGTGAAAGGAGCTTGTTTGATATACTTGGTAAGTGTAGATAATTGTGCAGACATCATTGATTGCAAGATTCACCACAAATTTGAAAACAGCTTCTTTCCTTTTTTGTGTCATGGCACTCATTTCGGAAGCTGTAAGGAGGAAGTAGGCCTGAAGACTCTAGCAATGCCAGGCCTACCAGGGTCTTCCTGAAGGAGGAGGGGATTTATAAAAACGAATGAGCAATAAACAAAGACATGCTTCCTCCAGCTCATTGGAAAAGGCCACGGCACTATTTTAAATACAGCACATTGATATAAAGACATTCTGATTTCAGACAGTTAAGGGGGAAAGTACATTTTAGGACAGAGGAAGCTCAGCAGCTAATTCTGTATTGCCAATTATTTTCTAGTTTACATTAGTCAGACTGAATCGTTGAAGGAAGACACATCAAAGAGATTTTGTTTACCAGATATCTCAGTTCAGAGAACTTTAGGCCTGTGAGCTTCAAAACTCCTTGCCAAACACCTCAAGATAGTATGCAGCTAAACAGATTTTAAAAGGTGGAACTTTTAAACAATAGGTAATTACTGGTAACTAGATATTTCTTTTAAAAAAATCTTCAAACATTTTAGATTCTTTCTTAAATATGAAAGAAGAATCAAGCAAAAACCTTTGTATTTTGCATATGATTTTTTTAAAACAATAATACACTTCTTAAACATCCATATTAAACAATGTGATCTCAGATAGACGGCTTGAAAACAGAGTAATAAAATGTAGAATATAGATTACTTCATTTGTACTGAAATGGCATCTATGAAATCCATAACATTTATAATCAGAGGAAAATTGACTTTAACAAATTATATGGGTTTGATTTGCTACACTGAAAAAAAAATCATCTGTTTTATAATCTGACTGTAGTGGAGTGCATTGTTAAAAACCTAACCTATTAAACTCATGCTGGAGACTGAGATGTTGGTGGAGAATCTAATGTATGACTGGTATAGACTCATGTAAAAGTTTAAATGCTTTGAAACTATTGAGATGAAAGTTCATCTCTGTTCTCAACGTGGGATCAAGTGTTGTATTACTAAAATTTTTATAAAGTAATAGTCTAAATTATAGAAAGTTTTTGTGAATAGCTGCAATAGGGAAAAATTATAAAAAAATAGATGTGATTATTTTAATTCAGAATTATCCTAGAAAAATCATTCATTTCTGTTTTCTATAAGTTCCCTCTAAATTACCTCTTGCCTAAAATCATCTTACCCTACAGCCAGTGGTTTTGAGAAATCATGCCCTTTAATGGGACTTTTAAAAATATATTTGATTGTTTGGATGGGAGATACTGTAAAGAGAATTTATGTTGTGACAAATCATTATTTTAAAAAGTCACAATATACTTGGTGTGTACCAGCTGGTGAAAATGTCAAGTTAGATCTTTTTTGATTACTGTTGAGTTGCTAAAAAGTCAAACTTTTTCAAATAAATGTTTCATTGCTTTTGTAATTTTCCTACTGATTGCAAAATAGTCAAACATTAGACAAATATCTTAAACTGGGTCAAGCATTAGTTGAGCCATTTTTTTTCTTATTTACTCTTGATACAGCGTGTCATTGTTGGATCCATTTTTAGATCCCCAGAAATAGATTCTTACTATGAGTAAAATCACATGGTTGGATTGGAAGTGTCTTGTTACATCTCTGCGGAGATGGGGATAGTGTGGCTTTATATAGGATACCGGGCAGAAAGAATGTAATTGATTCTCTTTGATGGTAATCTGAAGTCTTCCCTGGCAGAGAGATATACAGAAGTGTGCAGCAATATTTAAGAAGTGTATAAAACATTTTTTTTCCTCAGAATCAGCCTGCAGGATCTAAGATTGGGCATTCTGAAATGCTTCCATGAGGAAAAAAAACTACTTTCAAAGATCTTAGCCTCTTTTGCACATTTTGTTTTTATAGCAAAGAATTCAAACTTGTTACTTCTATAAATGCATATTTGTTAGCTGTATTGCAGGATACAATGTGTCCTGAATTCAACTAAGAAAATATCCTTTAGTTGTATAATGTTAGTACTCTTTCCCTTTCTATGGCACTCACCTTCCATTATCACACCTCAGTCCTAACAGGGTTGACATTTTCAAGGGACATTTTCTCTCTTAGATGACCACATTTGATGATAGATTATTCTACTCGCATGATCTGTGCTAATGCTTTATGGGAATTGTGGATATTCTGGTGGGTAAGTAATCAGAAAGACCCTTTGGCTTCCCTTAAATACCACGTGTAGACCTTGTCTTTTGGACCGAGAAACTTTTTAGTGCGTCAGATGAACAGACAATGGCATCTCATCTTATGTAAACCAGCCACCTGCAAACATTTGCTACTTATTCCATAATCTGTCCTCCCTATTTTCCCATTACTCTCCATATTCCACTCATGTGGCAAAGCTCTTCTCAGAGTGAAAACCCTGCCAGCAGTATTTAACATCTTAGTGTGAGAACATTGGTCTTTTTGCATGAATATGCCCACTTAATATCAGACACAGTAATGCCTTGGGAAAAGGTTAACGAACTATTGTCCACGCAATAAATTCTATTGCCTTTTTCTCATAAATAGGATGTGATTGACCCATTACACTTGACCAGAGGCTGGGATTCGTTTTCCTTTCGTGACGGTGGATTTTCACAGATGCAGCCATGCTTGTTTGCTTAGTTGCTGGTGACCTTACAAGCAATCTGAGAGACAATTGGTAGAGGGTTAGGAATGTAAGTTACACTTGCAGTCTTTAATCTTGTTCAGGTATGTCCCTGTTTATGAGGTGATGTAAACTAATAAAACAGCAGATACCTCATTGTTGCTTTTAGGAAAGCCGTACGTAATCATTTACAAATGAACCAGAACCAACCACACCTGACTGGGCAGCAGGAACTGACCACACTCTTCACCAAGGGCACCCAGATAACTTTTGTTATTTTCGCCGTCTTAAATTTCTCCTCATACTGTTTTACATCTACCTTGAGAATACTGTGGCAAGACTTAGGGAAGTGTTCAAAGTTTCTTCTAGATTAAGTTGTTTTAGGTTTGGTTAGATGCTCAACCACGATTTTCTTATTGTGTGTGTGTGTGTGTGTGTGTGTTTTTTGAGACAGTCTCGCTCTGTTGCCTGGGCTAACATGCTGTGGTGTCATCATAGCTCACAGCATCAGCCTA